CTGGAAATATCGAGGAGAAATTAGCAGGATATGGTGTAGATCACATAATAGTGACTGTCAAGAGGGAATGAAAGGTGATCTGAGGATCAATAGGAATTAGAAATCAAGATAGAGAGATAAAGGAACATAAAAGATTTTCATGACAATGTGGTTTTAGCTATTGCATGTTGGAGCAGTGGTCAGATTAAGAAACTTTGTGGTATTCATTAAAAAGAAGGTATTTAACATGGAGAGGGTATAGTACTGAAGACTCAGTTTGTGTTTGGTTCCATTGACCTTCTTTGGCACAAAGGGCTCGCTCTGGTATTGTATTAATGGAAAAATTAAAGTCATTTATGCTTTATATTATTACAACTTGCAAATGTTTCCAAAGTAAAAGTATAGGTTGGCTCCATACTACCACAGAAAGCTTTTACTAAAGTGGAATTGACATTTAAACTTGTTAATGTAGCTCTTGTGGACCTGTGTCCTTGTACAGGATTTAGGTCCTAACAACAATTTATGGCAATGTACTCTGAAGACCATCAGGCTAGATTGGGAAGGCTGAGTATGTAGTGCTAGGGAGACAGGCTCCTCAGTGCTGAAACAAGTCAATGGCTGAGTGATTAAGATGTAATCTCAAAATTGAAGTGCTATGAATAAGAGGGAATTTATTGCCAAGTCCCATGGATATTGGTTCAGTCAGAGAAGAAAATTCCTCATGAATGACATATCCTTCCATTTTACACAGGAAATACAGCTCCATTAAAATTTATGGGACCACTGTCATATATGTGGTCTGTGATTGACTGAAATGTCATTATGTAGTACATTACTGTAAATAAATGAAAAAACATACCATGTTCACGAATAGGAAGACTCAATGTTGTCAAAATGTCAATTCTTCACAACTTGAGCTCTCCAGTCAATACAATCAAAATCTAAGCACGTTATTTTATGGGTATTGACAAACTGACTCCAAAGTTAATATGGAGAAACAAAAGATCCAGAACAGCCAACACAATATTGAAGAACAAAGTTGGAGGACTCAACTTCAAGGTATACTATAAAGCCACAGTACCTGAGACTGTAATATTGACAAAAGAATAGACAAATAGATCAATGGAACAGACCTATCTAAATATAGTCACTTATCTTTGACAAAGAGCAAAGTACTATACAGCAAAGATAGTTTTTTTAACAAGTGGTACTGGAACAAGTGGACATCCATTTGCACAAAAATGAATCTAGATGCAGACCTCATACTTTTCACACAAATAAACTCAAAATAGATTACAGACCTAAATGCAAAACACAGAACTGTAAAACTACTAGATAACATAAGAGAATAAACTGGACTTCTAGTAAAATTAAAAATCTCTGCTCTGTGAAGAACAATGTCAAGAAAATGAAAAGACGAGCCCAAGAGAAAATATTTGTGAAAGTCATATCAGAAAAAGGACTATTATTCAAAGTATACGAAGAACTTTAAAAAGTCAATAAGAATATAAACAATCGGATTGTAAAAATGGGCCAAATACTTTAAAAGACATGCCATCAAAAAAGATACAAAGATGAAAAATAGCATATGAAAAGGTGTACAATATCATATGTCATCAGGGAACTAACTGCAAATTAAAATGACAATGAGATACCTCTACAGACCTATTAGAATGGCCAAAATTCAGAACGCTAAAGGCTGGTGAGGATGTAGAGTATTGCTTGTGGGTATGCAAAACAGTACTTTAAGAAATACTTTGGTGACTTCTTATAAAGCTAAACATATTTTTCCCACATGATCCAGCAATTGTGCTCTTCGATGTTTACCAAATGGAGCTGAAAACTTACATTCATAGAAAAACCTGCACATGGATTGCCAAAACTTAAAAAGAATCAAGATTTCTTTCAGTAGATGAATGAATAAACTGTGGTCCTTCCAGAAAATGGAGTGTTATTTAGCACTAAAAAGAGATGAGTGATGACAAGACCTGGAGGAACCTTAAGTGCATATTACTGGGTGAAACAAGCCAATCTGAAAAGGCTACATATTATATGATTCCAACTACTTGACATGCTGGAAAAGGCAAAACTATGGAGACAAAAGATCACTGTTTGCCAGGGGTCAGGGAGGAGGGATAGATGAATAGGCAAAGCACAGGATCTGGAGGGCAGAGGTACTTTATGTGATACTGTAATAGTGGAAACATGTCATTATATATTTATTTAATCCCATAGAACGTACAACACTGAGAGTGAACCTAGTGTAAACTATGCAGTCTGGATGATAATGACATGTCATTGTAGGTTTATCGAATGTTGTAACAAATGTACCACCATTCCAGTGAGAGATGTTGATAATGAGAAAGGCTATGCATGTATGGGGGGAGAGTGTATATACTTTTGTTCAATTTTTCTGTGAACTTAAAACTACTCTAAAAAAACCACAGTATATTAAAAAAAATCGATATCCAGCTGATTACATACTAAAATGTAAAAAGTAAAACTTTTAAATATGTAAAAGATAATACATGAAAAATATTCAAAACAAATAATTAATATCTGGAAATATTAGGAGGTCATGATATTGAAAACATTTTATTTTCTTGGAAACTCTGTTGAAGAAAAAAGTCTTTGCTATAAAAAAATGCTTAGGAAAAAATTGAGTGTCTAGCATACATTAGATAATAACGCAAATTCATGTAAATGAATAAATGAAATTGTTCTGAAAAAAAAAGAATTGAGAGCTGGAGATGGAGGGAAGGAATAGGTCCAGAATTCTGGAAGGAAGGAATGTAGAGAGAGGCAAGATAAATAGATTAAGATTATGGTCAGAAAACCCACTTTTCTGAAAAACTATAAATTGCAAACAACTACAGCAAACTTATGATGCTTGGGATAAAGTTTTGCAGAGAGAATAAGGAAACTTTAAACCACTTTACTGTATTGAATCCAATAAATAATTTCTATCCTTAGAATGACCTGGAAAAATTGATATAAATTTGGACTCAGAGCCATTTGTCACTTATTGTCATACATTAGTTCCCTCTAGCAAATATAGATTCTCTCAAGTTGCATTGGGACCTAGGAATCCAAGAAAAAGTTTGGACCAGATTCTTACTAAGTTTCTTCAGCTCTAAACTTTTACAAGGAAAATGTGATAACCACTACACTATAGAAACAAGGCTGGCAACCATATACCAAAATTAACTCGAAATGGATCAAAGACTTAAATATAAGACCTGAAATAATAAATTGCATAGAAGAAAATATAGATACTAAAGTCCTGGATCTTGGATTTTGAGAGGATTTTATGAATTTGACCTCAAAGGCAAGGGAAGTAAACACACACAAAAATGAATGGGATTATATCAAACTAAAAAGCTTCTGCACAGCAAAAGAAACCATCAGTAAAACAAAGAGGCAACCAACTGAATGGGAAAAGATATTTGCAAACAACACTTCTGATAAGGGGTTAATATCCAAAATATACAATGAACTTATACATCTCAACAATAAAAAAACAATCCAATTAAAAAATGGGCAGAGGACCTGAACAGACACTTCTAAGAAGACATACAAATGGCCAACAGACATATGAAAAGATTCTCAATTTCACTAGCTATTACAGAAATGCAAATCAAAACCACAATGAGATACCACTTCATACACATTAGAATGGCTATCATCAATAGAATAAGTAATAACAAGCATTGAAGAAGTTGTGGGGAAAAGGAACCCTTATACACTGCTGGTGGGACTGCAAATTGGTACAGCCACTATGGAAAACATTATGGAGGTTCCTCAAAAAATTAAGACTGGAATGACCCAGCAATCCCTCTTCTGGGTATTTACCCCCCAAAATTGAAAACACTGTAAAGATATATGCACCCTGATGTTCATTGCAGCATTATTCACATTATTCACTTGTTCTTTTCAAATATTAAGAGGGAGTCCACAGTCAATTGCTAACCAAAGACTGAAAGAATTTTCATTACCTGCTTTGCTCTACTGTTCTGTTAACAGGATCTCTTTCTATTCATTGTAGGTGACTGAACAGAAACCTCCTTTATAGTTTAAATTTTTCTGAAATCATTACAATAATTTTTCATAGAGCCCATTTGGATTCTTCCAAATTTTGAATCACAGGGCTCCCAGGATATATGGCTCTTCTGTAAAATCTCTGCCCACATACTTTTAAACTCAAAATATTGATAGCATCTCACCCTCTTCCAGAAAAGGCTTTCACTCTGATTAGAAACTCTGAAATATGTGATTCATATAACAGTGAACATGTAGAACTATAATGGTGATTTCTTGGAGAGAACAAATTGTAATTAGGCTATCCTTTAGTCATGCCTAGAAAACCTGGTACTTACAAGCGAAGTCAAGCATCCTCAGTACCTACCAATTTCAAAACTACCATCGATAACTCCCACCAGTGAAGAAGGGATTTCAAACCTTCTCTCTATTTGAGTGATGGTGCTCTTCAGATAGCCTTCAGCCAGTGCTTTGGCAAAGTAAACAAAAGACAAGGCACCTAAGAACACCTGGAAAATATGACAAGCCACACTTAGTCTGACTCCAATTTGACACAACTGGAAACTTACTAAATAAACAAATAACAACAACAAAACCCCAAACCAAGAACAATGGAACAAGCTTGTTATCAAAGGTAAGAAATTATACTACAAAATTAAAAACCATAAACCAAGCACTTAACATCTTATCACTGTTTCACAGTGATGATACATGCACCAGCAAACTAAAAAAGCAGAAGTACTAGTCTTTGTGTTTAAGCTCATATTCTAGTTAAATTCATAGTCAAATTCTTATTTAGTGAAAAAAAATTTTATTTTGTATCTGGCTTATGTATTTTTACTAGACCTGGTTCTGTGATAGCATATCCACAGGGTAGGTTAGCATTTATATGAAAAAAGACATAAATATTTGTTGAGTGAATATTTGGTATTAAGAAAGAACAGAAACTTGGAGTCACAAGGAGCACCATTTAAAAAGCAAACCCCCATCCCTTACTGTGTGGCAACGAAAGTCAAATTTTTTTCATTTATAAAATGAGAATAGTGTGGATGTTTCATAGATTAAACATTGTAACTGTGCTTAGTATAATATTTGGTACATGGCAGATATTCAATAAATATTAGTTTCTTTCTCCTTTTGGTTTAGAAGGGGCATTCAAGCAAGCCAGAAAAATAGTAATTAGTAATTTAACCTATATGGTCAGGCAGAGATTACTTTCATTGCCTGGAAAGTGTGGTTTTAATAAACTGCATCTAGATCACTTTTTAAAAAGGACAAAGAAATCTTGCTTTTAGTTATATTGTATGAAAAATATCTGGATAGGCAGCCATGACCAATGACTCCACTCATTTCTTTGTTATTCTTTAGTTTACCACTTACAGTTTTGTACCCTTTAATTGTTTGTTACCTTTAGTTCACCACAGCATGGCTGTTTCTCCTCTGAGGAGGAATATTCTGTTTTAAAGGAAGGCCTCCTAACTGGTTGCATTGAATTTTTGCGGAATAACTGGATATTTTCTTTGGATGAAGTGTCCATTATGAAAATGTTTCTTGACTCTGATCTGTCAAAGTTGATTTTAAAAAAGAAAAAACAAAAAACATTTCATTCAAAATCACACAATTTATTCAATAGACATAATTTGATGTGAAGGTAGCTTATTGTACCACAGTAAGTTGGCAAAGTTTTTCAATTAAAATTGACCAAGATGTTTGATTAACTAATCCTGCTATCAGGACTCTGTTGCCAGCATTCTTTCTCAATCTCTCCAGTTTAAGCCTCATTATGGCAAAGAATAAATAAATGTTGCCTTTGGAATAAATAATGAAGCAGAATTTTGCTAACTTTGTGGTCTTGCCAGCTTAAAATAGGAGCATGCAGTAAAGGAAGAAGAGGAATTCAACCATTTGAATATTGTCTCATTAGAAGTAAGTCTTTCAAGCCTTTAAATCTATCTTCTTAGTAGAACTGATAGAAAAGATTGATGCCTGCTTTAGATTCCTGTAACACCTTATAATTCCTATAGGTCTGTAACATCCAAGGGCTTAAAATATGGCAAAAAAAAGAGAGAGAGAGAGAGAGAGAACCAGTTGTGTATCATTTTAGTTTGACAAATGAGGAAGCAGCAAAATTTGTGCCTTAGGCTTAGATTTAATTTAGGCAAAAGTAGTCTTTGGCCTGCCTTAAAGTATGAAGGACGGCATCCCTTTTCTGTGTCTGATTTCCCCTCCTCCTTGTCCTTACCAAGTCCTGGACAGGTTCGCAAACTCTGAATCTATTTTATCCCTGTTCACATCAATATTTACACTTCTTATGCCTCAATTTCTTTAGGATTCCACATGGCTCTGTGCCTGCCTGAGAAAGTAATCTAAGTGAAATAATTCAAAAATAAGATAATGTCTGAATCTCTATAATGTTTATCAGATGATGCATTTGTATGTTAATAGAAATCTTCTATGTTTTCATCATACTAACTAAAGAAATAATGTTAGAAGTAAAATTTCAAGTACTGTGGTAGAAGTTTATTTCTGCCAATGTGTATGTTACTGAGTTATATACCAGAAGAAAGACCTAAACAATTGAAAAGTGGAGGGGATTCCTTCAGGGAGCGGGAAATAAGTCAAGAAGAGTGTGGCAAGGACCTGATTTAAAAAGAATCATTATTAGACTTTTAGATTATTTGATTGCATAAACATACATAACTTTAACTTTTAAAATGTGGAAAAATGAAAGTGAGTAAAACAGGAAAAAAATTTTAAAACTCAAATACTAAAGTAGATGAAGAGCTAAAAATGCTAAACAAGCTCAAAAGATAAAAACACAAGAATACAATATTAATGAAATACAAATATAGATACTTTAGAGTATAAAACAAAATAATATACAATATAGAGAAACAACTTTAAAATCTTGACAAAATGAATAACTTTCTGGCAAATATTAATTACATGTATTGACACAAACCAGAAGAGAAAAAAAGCCAAGGAAGACATTATCAAAAATTCTCTGAAACTAGCTCCTAAACAAAAATACTAAGGACAGATGACAAAATAGGAGCGCTTTACCAAGAGCTATCCTTCAAGGAAAGATAATAATAAAGATAAAGGAAACATAATAATAGTCTCCATTCATTTGACAAAGCTAGAATTACCTTGATAACAAAAAGGAAAACTTCAGACCAAATCTAGACATTCTAAGATCCTATATAAAATGCTAGTAATTTCAAATTCATTAATTTTTTTATAATTAAGTTTCAGTTTTAAAATGTAACAATATTAAGAACTATATTTACCAAAATCACCACATTAAGAATTCAAAATATTATATATGTATATCAAAACATCAGCCTGTACACCTTAAATACACACTTTTTTGTCAATCATGCATTAATAAATGTAAAAAAAGTAATTCAAAATTAAAAATAATAAAATCTCAGTAGATGTAAAACATCAGGTGATAAAATTCAACTTCCATTCCTAATTTTAAAAAGACAAATTCTAAGAAGCTAAGAACACTGAGATTCTTCTTTACCATCTATCTGATACCAACAGACAACTTGGTCACTAAAACTACTTTTTCAGAGAAATATTTTGCCAGAACAATAAAAAGAGATTTGGGGAAATATTGGGTTATACAATGTTAAACAGGTTTCTTTAGTACAAAATTACTGAGTACTTCTAATTAAACTCCTGGAGAAATCCACTGCTTGTAATGGAAAAAAAAACAATCAAAATAACTAAATGTCCAACAAATAATATATTCATGAGATGAAATATTTTGAAGCCCTTAGAAATTAGTGTACAGAAGTAAATATAGTTATATAAAGCTATTTCCATCACAGAATTGATTTTAAAAATACATGCTACTAAACAGTATAAATAACATTCTATTTTATAAAAGAAACACACATATTCACATATGTATATACATAGAAAAAAAGCTTAAGAAATTTATTAACAAAATGTTAACGCTCATTATTTCTGGTTGGTGACATTGCAGATGATTTTTTAAAAATGTTTCGTGTCCATATTTTCTAAGTTTTTTATAACAAACATCAATTTCTTATATAAAAATATTTAAAAATATTAAAGATATAAAAAATCACCAAGCAAGAAATGTATAAACCTGAAAATATTTTAAATACAAAATGAGTAATATTAAATTCACAGTTTAAAATGGAATCCTCTTCCATGAACTAAACTGTATAATTCAAATTGACCTACTGTTTTATAAGTTCGGATATATTATTTCCCATCCTTCATAATACAGCCAGTGACAAGAAAATATAAATAGCTTTATAATAAAATTACTATCACTTAACACTAACCATATCTTTAAAAGGGTTATATTTAGAATGCTAACTAAAGAGAAAAAAATCATGTTAAACTCTATATTAAAAACTTGAGACACCAAAACACATTTTCTTCTTATAGTTGAAGATGTTGACACAAAAATCACTCCAACTAGAATCTAGAAACAATAAAAAAACAAGAGAACTATAGTCATCCTAGTTGATGTTGTGTTAGATCAAAATGACATCCAGCTTAAAATACTGATACTACATAGTTTTACTGAAAATATAATTTCATCTTGATGGCTACTTTGCATATCACCTCAAGTATAGTAAGTTTGAAGGAAGCTACAGTTTATGAGCATTGAGCTTTTCATTCTTCTGTGAAAA